TATACGATAGAATGAATGTAAAACTAATGTTCTCCCATGTAAACTATCACATAATTCACAATAAAACATTTAAGAAAAAAAAAATGGTCAAGAGAGCTCATTTTTGTCATATATGTTTCACCACGATAGCAATGTTTGAAAAGAAACATGGCAAGTGATTCTCAACCTAGAACCCCATGGAGTGTATTCCCTGCACCCTGGATTGAATTCTGCCCCCCTCCTCCCGCCCCCTTTTTTAATCTGACGTAATTATCCTTGTGTGGTGAATCCTAATCTCTAGGGGGTGAATGAGGCAGGAGTAACAGTGGCTGTGTTACTGAGGGCCAGTTCGAGTCCTCCAGGAGCTCCGAGGGATATTACGCAACATTGAAGATGTTTTCTGCTCCCACAAAGATTTATCACCTTGGGACCACTACACAAGATCACTACGAGTCAGAACCGACTCAGTGGTACTTAACAACAACAACCTATTGTTTCTTGGAGTTCTGTGTGGTGCTATAAGAGAAATGCTGGACCGCTAACGGCAAGGTTGGCAGTTCCAGCCCACCAGCAGTTCCTTGGAAGACAGATGAGGCTGTTTGCTCCTGCAAAGAGTTACAGCCTTGGAAACAGTCTCTGTGAGTTGGAACCGACCCGATGGCACCTAACCACAACTGAGGTAGGGTGCAAACTACAGGACTAGGTGGTACCTTGAGTTAGGTCTCATTGGATCTATAAAGATGAGACAATGGATCAGGGTTCAGAGGGGCCTACTATCACCAAGAAAGAAGAGTTGGGCATGGAGTCCATTATTGATCTGGGGTCCCTGTGCTGAGAAACACCTAGACCCAGGAGAAGATTGATGACAAGGGCCTTCCCACCCCCCACCCGAGCTAGAGCAAGCCTCCTCCCAGAGCTAGCACCCCGAATTCAGACTTGCAGCCTTCTAAGCCGTGAGACACTCCCTTTCAATTTGGTAAAGGCCCCCATGTGAGGCATTCCTGTTGTAACCCCTGTAATTCCTTCCTTGGCGCACACAGGAAGCCACCTGGCAAAGGCCCACTTCTACTGCTTTTTCTCTGACCTACAGCTTCAGGGACAGGTAGAGTGCATTAGGAACCTGCTTTCAAACTAACAGAATGACTTAAAGCCCACAATATGGGTGTCTGGCTTGGCCCACTGAAATCATAGGGCACTTTGTACATCATCCTGAGGCTGGGCCTGGGGACATCCCAGCATCTTGACCACTCACCCAGGGCACTCTGGGATGGAAGGAAGTCCTCTTCTCTCAGTGGTCTTCCCTACAGAAGGTGGGAGGAGGTCTTACAGTTCTGTTATGAGTTAGTACGATGAGCCATAGCTCCTGTCCCTTGTTAGGGAGTTCTCACACAACTTTCCTGGAGGTGTCTGTCTGATTATGCAACCCAGCCCCACCCCAAGCAAGGCTGAGGGTCCCCTCCAAGGAGCCTTCTATAGCCTGGAGCTCTCTGCATTCAAGGGCAGTGTGTGGGCCAGGGCTGCTCGGGGCCCCCATCTGTCAGTGTGAACTGCTGAGCTGCTATAACACTGGAAGTTATGCCACCAGGATGACAAATACCAGTA